TAAATTTGGCATAGTCACCCCCATTTCTCAGATGAGGAAACTGCTTTAGAGAGAGGCAGATACAGGCCCTGTGCCTCGATAGACTATGTAAGACCCTGCCTAGTGCTGCCTTGTACACATCCTTGGCCCCCTTGCTATCCCCCAGGAGACAGACCAGGCACTGGCTGTAGAAAACAATTTACTTGGGGATTAGAGCTGATCTTCCAGAGAAGAGCAGCTCCCTCAGGGTGAGAGACCTGGGCGGTCTGACTCCCGGGGCGTGGCCCTGCAAGAAGAGGCTGAGGCTGAGCACCCAGATTTAGGGGAGGCAACCAGCATTGCTGAGGGTGTTGGGAAGGACAAGGGACACCCACACACGTCCCAGGTGGGCACAGCTACACTCCTCGCTGACACTCCCCAAAGGACACATCCATCCGTCTTGCTTGGACTTACATGGTCACAGCTGACAGGAAAGCAATGCCTGCTGAGGGAGGGGCAGGCCTTCTGGCTCACTGCCAGCCCTGTGAACTCTGACCTCAAGGGGCTCCAGGCTTGGTGCCAGGCCTGTGGGTGGAGGGGAATGGGATGTGTGGTTGGAGGAGGGCCCTGGAGCGCCTGGCTGAGCGAGTGTTCTGTGTGTCAGAGTGGGAGTGAGTGGGGCTGAGCTCGGGTACACGAGTGGGTGGTTGTGTGCGTCAATGTGTAGGGGGAGAATCTGTGTGCGTGTGTGTTTGGTGCGCCTGTGAGCAGGTTTTTTGTGTGTCTGCCTAGGCCTTGTACGTCAGAAGCCTGGACCTGGCTCTGGGATCTCTGTTGTGTGTGTCTGTTTGCAGAGCATGTGGCATTTTCATGTGTTTCTTTTTCTGTTTGTGTGCACGCAGGATGTAGCATACATACATGTGTGTGACGCTGGAGTTTGTGCAGCCTTTTGGTGTCTGGGGGATGAGAAGTGTGCTGACAGGGCAGTGTTTGCATGTCACTGCAGTCTGCACGCAGCCAGAGTGTAATGTTTCTTTGTGTGCAATTTAACCCTTGTGTGTGTGTGTGTGTGTGTGTGTGTGTGTACAGATCTGTGAGGGTGGCCTTGTGAATCTTTTCTTCAGGGACTTGTAGAACTAACTTTCAGGAAGCCTATTGCCACTCACCGAGCAAACCTTCATCGTGCCCTCCACTGCCAACCAGTGTGGCCAGCTCTGTGCCCACCTTCCTGGCAAACTCCTCCTGAGGGAGCCCTGAGGCTGCAGGACGCTGGGTCAGGTCAAGGTCATGTAGCAGGAAGGACAGGGGCTCTGTCTCCTCTGGTCTCCCACGCAGCCTCTGGCTCACATAGGTCCCCACCATCTAGGCTGCCAGCATCTTGGGCACTGCCGGGTCTCCCTTGCAATGAATTTTCATTTCCGCTGGCTCAGGGCCGGTCACAGGGTGACAGAAGGGAGGGAAGATTTGAATTTCAAAGGGAGCCCCAGCTCCAAGTAAGTGTGTGTTGTGCCACTGTGCGTGTATCCCTTGTGTCTATGAATCCGCACCTGAGAGGCGTGGCATGTGTGTGGCTGAGTGGGTTTTGTGATTGTGCCTCTGTGAGGCCAGGTACAAGCCCTCGCATGGGCCATGTCCATGTGCTTGAGGGTTCATGGGTGACCACCGCCGTAGGAACGCCCGGGAGCTGTCGGTGTCTGGGTGTGCTTCTGGCAAGCATTCGGATCTGCGACATGTATTTTTAGGAACAAATGAGTCTATGTGAGCGTGTCTGTGTCTTTGTGTGTCCGTGTTCGAGGCCCTGCAGTGTCTGTCTGTGCACCTGTGTGCTCACTGCCCATGTTACCTTGGCGATATCGGCAGGGGTGTGTCGGTGTATCTGTGCAGGAGTGTGGGTGGGCGTTTGCATCTTGGTGTATCTGTGTGTGGGTGAGGAACTGTAGGGACCAGTCGGTACCAGCATATCCATGCCTTTGTTTGTGTTCCACTGCTGTGTGTCTTTGGATATGTGAGTGCATTGTGTCTGTGTCACTGTCTATCTCTGTGAGTGTTTGTGCCTTTGAGTGCTGGTGTGTCTGTGTGCACAGCTATGGGGATGAGTATGTGAGTGTGCAAGAGGGGCACAGTGAGGGGGAGCATAGGTGCAAATGGGCAGAGAAGGCTGTGCCAGGCCTACCCCATGACGCATGCCAGCACAGCCTCTGTCCTGTCCAGGTGCCAGGAGGGGGCTGAGAGGACCACCCTCTCCTCACAGGGACCCAGGCGCCAACCCACAGGCGCTCAAAGGGCTCTCTGGAGCCAACGGCCAGAGAGGATGGGCTGTGAACGGAGTGGCACTGGTTCCTCCACCTCACTCATCTGTCTTGGGCAATGGACCTTTGCAGTCTTGTGGCAGCACTGAGACGCTAGCTAGAGCGCGGGCAGGGCTGCCCAGTCTGGAGACAGTGGTGCCGGTGAACAAGCCCCAACTCCATATTCCCAGGCTTTCCTGATATCCATGTGAGTCTGGTACAGGCCCTGACATCAGCTCAGGAGAGGCCTGCCGGTGCACGCTCAAGACTATACATATACACAGGCACATTTGTCTGTAGACCTCACAGTCACTCTTTTTTCTCACACTCACTTTAACAACCCCACTCCCCGCTGGGTCTCGGACCCTATGGAGTACATAAGCTAAGGCTCAGATGTCTAAGCACAGAGGCATCCTTGAGTCACTTCACATCCCCTCTATTTGGTCAGGCCCTAAACCGGAAGTTGGGGACCCTGAAGTGGTCACCCCACCTCTCATCTCTCAAAAGTGCTCAAGCATGGAGGTGAGGCAGACTCCAAATCCAGTCTTTCTATGAGGTTCCTTCCATCTAAAAGCCAAAGGCAGGCAAGGACCAGGGTGGCCTCTTAGGGTAACCCTTCCAGAGACTGGGGGGGCACTAGGAGGTGATGTCAAGATGTCCAAAGGACAATACAGGAGGAACTAGAGAGGGGATGATGGTCTCACGGTGTCCTTCCCTGCCAGATTAGAGGAATTTTGAGAAGGGTGGGCACCTTGTAGTGCCAACACTCTGGGAGGCTGAGGCAGGAGAATCACAAGTGAGAACCCAGCCAGGTCAATTTAGTGATTTAATGGGACCTTGTCTCTAAATGAAAAATAAAATGCTGGGGATAGGATAGGATGTAGTTCAGTGTGAAAATCCTAGGTTCAATTCCCAGTACCATACACACACACACACACACACACACACAGAGCCTGGTACACTATCCTAGCTCTTCTATCTAGTACTCCCTCACTGTGTGTGTGTGTGTGTGTGTGTGTGTGTGTGTGTGTGTGTGTGTGTGTGGCAGCTGCATTTGGAGAAGGCTGCGTGAAGTGAGAGGTCAGGCTAGAAATACATCACTAAGGACCTTGTAAGGAAAACCAGAGGCAGGTTTTATTTTGAAAGCAAAAGTTAGATCTATAAAGGGTTTTGGACAGGAAAGAATCCTAGTCAAGTTTAAGGAACAACTGGGGCAAATGGAAGGGGGATCTGAGGAGAAGGGGACTGGCCGCAGGCTCATTTGTTCAACAAGTATTTATTGAGAGCTTACCACAAATGTCCAGCACAGAGTGAAGCAAACAGATACTCTCTCGGACACCAAGCAATGTCTAAAACCTGGCCACGTACCTGCTGTGCCTACACGGCATTTACCTTCAGGTGGTGCAGGGCAGCCAGACAGAGCAGCATCCTGGCATGCAATGCCTGTAGTAAGTGCAAAGAAGGAAAATGGTGTCAGGCAAGGGGCAGGAGCAACAGAGGAGACCGGGGGCTGTTTCAGTACTGTGGTCAAGGAAGATATCTCTGAGAAGGTGACGTCTGAGCAGACACCTGAGGGAGGCGAGGGATATTTGGAGGAAGAGCTGTCCAAATAGGGGAAATTGCAAGTGCAAAGGCCCTGAGGGGAAGCGTGCCATTTACTCAGATGGGGAAAGACTCGTGGGAAGTCGATGAGTTCTATTTTGGACTTGCTGCACTGAGGTGCCTTCAGGACATCCAGAGACAGTGACCGGGAAACAGGAGCGATTTGGGTAAAGATAGGGATTAAAGCGAATGGAAGCCTGGGAACTGATGCAGAGGATAACTGCGGGGATCAGAGTTGTGAGCAACTCGAGGCACAGGAGTCAGTTCTGGGGACACTGGCTGCTAGGGATGGGGCGTGAAGGGGCGGGGACTGAAGGCATCTCCAGAATGCCTGAGAGAGTGGGAGCCAAGGAAACTGGCTGTGCCATTGATGGAGCCCCTTCTAGATGGCTGCTCATGGTCCCCTGGGCTCCCACCGCCCATGCCCTCCAGGCCATCAGAGCTGATGTGTCCACTACCAGTGCTTCCTTCCTCTGGCCTGAGGCTGGATCCTCAAGTCACTCCATAGCCCACTTTCGGCTGTGCTCAAACTTGGGGAGCAGGAGAGCTCTGATCAAGAGCCTGGAGGCCAGGACCTCAGCCTTCCTGCGTACACTCTCAGCCTGTTCCTCCTGGCAGTGGGGTTTGGAAGCATGACCTTCCAGCCCTAGGTTGGTCAGAGTCTGCAGGGCTGCTTCACCACATCCAGATGGGTTCAGTGCTGGTACCTGCCTGGTAACTGGTTCGGGGTAGGAGGTGTCATCCTGATCGGCAGCATTTGCCAATTCCCATGGTGTAAATCCTCCCATGATAACCAATTTAGTGTGAAGTCAGCTGGCTGGCACAATTCCAAAACACTTAACAAGCGGTTCCCACAGGCTGGGATGAGCCAGCTCTAGCTCCTACTCTTGACCCTTTCCAGAGAGACGCGAAAACAGAAAGAGGTTCTGCCTGTCAACTGGGGAAGGAGAAGAGCCAGGCTTTCCATCCCATCCTGCTTCGAGACACCTTGGTCTCTCCTTTGAGAGAAACGCTAAGCCTTTTGTTTGCCCCCACGGCTCCCTCGCTCTAACCACCTGGCATTCTGGCCCGGCCCTCTGCTCACTGCATTTCCTACTCAAAAGATGGGCTAGAGCCCACCTCACCCCTACTTTCCCTGCCTCCTTTCTTTAGAAACAGATGCCACAAAGCCATGGACCATGCCACCCTGCTCCGGGTGACCTGAATATGTGGCCTGGCTCTGCCACCAGCTTCTGAGAAGCGTCCTCAGTCTCCCCATCTGTGAGATGGCCGGCAGGGACGAGCCTCTCCAGCAGGCCTTTCCGCCGGGAGATTCTGCAATTTCTGTCATTTCCTGCCTCAGCCCTGACAGCAGCTCAGGGCCTCCTCTCTCAAACACATTTCCCCAGACTCCTAGACCCTCCCTGCTTCTCCGGCCCCCCACTGCCTCTGGCTCCCCAGGCTCCCCGATAAGGGGCCCAACTAATTACATTAGGATTTCATGCCAATTAACAAACAATTACACGGGCAAATTGGTGCCTAATTTGGAGCAATAACAACAGCTCCATTGGCCGAGGACAGATAGCTGCAGACAAGACTGTTCACCCAGCCTGGCCCTATCACAGACCCTGGAGTGTAGGAGCCAGCTTTTGACCCAGCCCTGGGCCCACAGCTGCAGTTCTTTTAGGATCTGTAAGCAACCATTTATGTTGATTACACAGTAGAAGAAAAACCCCAGAGGGTGGAAGTGGAGCAGAGGGAGCCAGGCTGGCTTCCTGGAGGAGGCAGGAGGACTCAGGGAGGCAGGGAGAGAAAGGAAGATGGCGCCTGAGGGGTAGTAATGCATGGGAACAAAGGCTTGAGTGTGGCCATGAGTCACATGAGCTGAAAGCTGGTGGAGAAACCAGCAGGGCGAGGGCACAGGATGGTAGGCGGTGCTGAGACTACAGATGTTTGGAGGGACAGGTTGGGAATGTCATTCCCGGGAATTTAACACTCTCCTGGAGGCCTTCGGAGCCACTGAAGGTTTGTAGAAAGAGGAGAGCACAGGGCTCAGACTCGTCTTAGATTCCTGATCTTGGATTCCTCACAACCGCCAGTCCACCTTTAGTTTGCCACGAGGTCTCATCTGCTCTCCCCTCTGAACGCAGCAGCTGTCAGTCCTGTCCCCAAACCATTTCTTGTCCATAATTTTCCCAAGTGATCACCCTAAGGCACAAATGCACCCTTATTCCTCCTCTGCTTAAATCTTCTATGGCTCCCCAGTGCCATCAGAATAGAGCTCCAGCTCCCATCTCAGCATCCCTGCCCTGTACCATCTGGTGCCTGGGGACCTCCGAGCTTCCCCTCTCTCCCCACCTCCACCCCAGCCCTGTGCTCGGGGGACTGGACACCATCTACAGGATGTGCCAGGTTCCTTCACACCTCCAGGCCTGTGACTGTGCGGTTCCCTCGGCCCAGATTCCTCTCCCAACACCCGTGCTTGTCACCAAGTGCATCCTTCCAGGCCCCAGCCTGTAGACTCCGTTCTCTGGGGCGCTGGTTCCCACAGCAGAGCTTGTGCCTCCACCACTGTCTTCCGCAACCCCCACCCCAGACTCGGAGCTGCTCAGGGGCTGGGGTACTCCGCATCTCCTTCACCCAGCACTGAAAGTGAATGAACAGAGAAGACAAAAGGATGAGATAAACAGTGGGGGAAACTGAGGCAAGGACCCAGAGAAAGATTCATAATCTGGTGAGTGCATCTCTCCGAAAGGAGAGCTGGGTTAGCCTTCAGCCCTCTGCCCGCTGGAGCCAAGCCCTGCCCTCCCCCACAAGCCTGAACCAGCCCACCTCCAGCCACCACCCAGGTGTGTCCCTCTGCATTTAAAAACGCACCACCGAAAACTGCCACAGTGGGCTGGGGATTTAGCTCAGCAGCACAGCGCCTGTCCAGCAAGAGCAAGGTCATGAGTTCAATTTCCGGTACTGGGGAAAAAAAAAAAAAGAAAACTGCCACAGCTAAGGATCTCCCAAGGGTCACGGCAGCTCTCCTGAGGGCAATGGTGGAGCCAATGGACAGTAGTATGGATTGTGGGCAGACTCGAGGAGGGACCTCCTGAATCAGCACTCACTGTTCCCGAAGGAGCAGCCAGTGAGGAAGGGCAGGGGGCTTGATGGGATCGAGGGAGGCCGGGGTGGACCCCAGACCCTCCCAGGAGCAGGGGGTGACCCGGCTAACTTTCCCAGGAGCTTGAGTTCTTACTTGGGGGGTGCTTACTCCACCTCAAGGCCCATCACTCATGTTAATTACTGAGAAAAAGCCGATTTCTCCTCATTGCCAGGCTCCAAACAACAGTATCATTAGGCTGCTAATGTGTGGAGAAATTGTGCGTGTCTGTCTTGGAACATGTCCTGATCCAGAATGGGTGAGGGTGCCCCAGGCAGGCACTGGCCTCTAACATGCTCCCTGTGGCAGAGGGCCAATCTCTGGAAGAGCTGCTGTGCCACTTGGCAGAAGTGGTCTCCCTCTCTGTTCAGTGAATACCAATGATGGTAATTGAATCACACCAGCCTAAGGCATAGATACACAGTGCACAGCATGTAAAGCTTGCCAGGTATGAACAGAGCTGCTCTCAGACTTATACAAGAATACAGACCCCCTTGGCTCTGCTGAATTTGAACTCTGGCCTGTCTGCTGCCACAGCCCTTCTCTGTCATGCTTGTACCCTTTTCTCTGAGCTCGTGCCCACCTCCGGACCAAGAGGCATCTGGGCACCATTTTACCTCTGGGAGGGAGGAACTGGCTCTTTCTTCCCATCTTTCCTGAGCAAGGCTGAGTTTCTGAAGGCGAGAAGAATGCAACCTCCCAGCTCCAGAATAATAGCCACTGCTCCAGCCCTCTACATGCCTCTTCACACCCTTCATCATGTTTAGCCCTCATTCCAACTCACTTAACACACAAAGAAACTGAGCCCCAGAAAGGTGAGGTCATCTGCCTGAGCTCAGTCTCAGAGGCAGGCTAACTCAGATCTTCCCAATGCCCAAACTCAGGCTGAAGACAGTCCTCAGCTAATCCATGCAGCACTCCAGGAACACGTTCTCTTTCTAGCTTTTGTCCTCAAGAGCTGAGGTGGGTGAGGCAGAGGCAGGATGTACAGATATAATTATAGCTCACTGTGATCCATGCATGGCACAAAGAGGAGTACAAAAGGTTTATCCTCACCAGCAATCAGAGAAATGCAAATTAAAACAACAATGCAATACCATCTCTACCTGTTGAAATTAATATGTTTTTGTTTTTTTTTGTTTTTAGACAGCTTCAGTGTTGATGAGAACTGAAATCTGAACCACTCTGACTCTGTTGATGGAAGGGTAAATTAGAACCACTTTTCTGGAAAACCATTGGGCGGTGCTGTCAAGAGCTTTAAAAACATACAGACCCTCTGGTCCCATTAATCTACTTTTAGGAACTCAATCCAAGAAATAACCAAAGATGCTAAAAAAGACCCATGTACAAGGACGCTTATTGCTGTTATTTATAACTGTGAAAAATCACAAGCAACATAAATGTCTAGCAATAGAGGGCTGGTTAAATAAATTATAATACATCCATATATAAGAATGTTATGCAAACATTAAAAGTCATGTTCTTGAGGAATTTTTAATAACCTGGGGAAATACTCACTGTTTTATAAGTAAAGCACAATAGGAAACAAAACTGTCTATCTAGGATGATCTTGGTTGTACAACGAAAACAATGAATCAATTCATGTAAAGGAAGTCTGGGAGGAAATAAACAGTTAATCTGACAGGAGATGGGTAATTTTTTGTGTGTGTTTCAGCATACTTTTCTGTTTCTTACAAGTCTACAATTTTTCAGGAAAAATTCATTAGAAATACATGCAATCTAGAAGCTGGGCATGGAAGAATCAAAAGCTTGAGACCAGCCTGGGCAACTTAGTGAGAGCCTGTCTCAAAATAAAAAATAAAAAGGGATGGGGATGTAGCTCAGAGGCAGAGAGCTTACGTAGAATGTGTGAGGCCCTTGGTTCTATCTCCTATACCGAAGGAAAAAGAAATACATGTGATGTACACAAGCAGACGGGAAGCTCAGGATGCCGTGAGAACAGAAGCTCCACACCCAGCTTGGGAGCAGTGCAGTCCAGGAAGGCTTCCTGCACAGGTGATGCCTGCATTAGCCCCGAGTGAGTAAGCTTTGACCAGAGGAGAGACAATTAGTGCTCTAGGCTGGGAAAGTCATATGCAAAGGCGAGAGAGATCCTGATGGCTCCCAGAAACCCTCAGTAGTAGGAGAGGCAGAGACCAGACAAGGGAAGTTCCAGATGACCCAGCTAAGGTGCCAAATGTTGAAGGTCCTAAGAGGGAGACGACAGGAACCAACTATGTTTGAAAGAGTCTTGTGGACACAGAACGGAGGGGAACGGGAGCGTGGGAGATGGGGTGCAGCCAGACCGGGGAACCTAGGAATCAGCAGGGCTTCTGGTTGGGTGAGAGAGGAGTTGGCTAGGTCTGGGCTGAGAGAGGAGAGGAGAGGCTGCGGGAGCAGTGATTACGAACAGATTTGACAGGATTGTGATTAATTGGAGAGGGGAGGCGGCATGGGGGAGGGGCCGAGCGTGACTACGGGCGGGCGCGCACAGACACGAGGCACCCTGAGGTTCCCACTGCGTTTTGCCCACAGTGCTTTTCCCCCACCGCCTCCGAATGGGCAGATTTGGGCTGGTCTGATATTTGAAGTTGAGCCCATCACCACGCCCCGACTCACCCCTGCACCTCTGTGCCCTCTTTCCCACTGCACTGCCAGGCTGCACCGTGTGGGTGAAACAAAAGGCCACAGAGACGAGGGCTGAGGCTGAGGCCCTCCGTGGACACAGACACACCGCCACACTCACGCAGGCACACAGAGAGCTCAGGCACCCACAGGGCCTCTGAGAATCGAGTCACAGGCACCGATGGATACCCAGGGACACAGCCCAACAGAGGCCGCCCCACGGTCACACGCCTCACAGTCACACAGTCAGCTCCAGCCTGGCTTGCACACACAGGCCATTGTGCTCTGCCGGAATCCCCAAGGTCCTCCCGCCTGCGCCACCCCCAGCCCCACTCCCGCTCCTCCTCCTTCCAGCAGGACAGGACAGAGGGCTGGCTGGCACAGGGACCTGCAGCCAAACGGGGCAGCCCAGCCAGGAGGGAGGCCTCTGAGAAGGGGTTGCCACGGCAACAGGCTCCTGCAGAACCAACCACAGGCTTAGATTCTCAGCTCTTATTTTTAGAAGTTGGGGCTTGGACTGGTTGCCCGAGGGCACAGATGCCAACCGGAACCCCCAGGGGTTTGGGTGGACACAGCCCACCCTGGGCTTCTTCCAAAGGGCCCCTCCTTCCCCAAGGTCATGCCCAGGGGAGGGCCATGGGGTCCCTCGGTCTTCACACTGACCATGGGCTTTCTACTAGCAGCACCCTTCCCTCTCCAGGTCCCCAGGGTGGGGACCCAGTCTGCTGTCCCACTGCACTGCCACCTGTTGATGGCTGTGATTCAATGCACTGAGCGTCAGGGAGCGAAGGAGTGGAGGTTCAGCCCGATTGGTATGGTGGTATGTGTGAGGCTGCGTGTAACTGTCTGAATGAGTGTATTTGTTATGTGTTGGGGCTGCTGTCCGCCTCTGCCTGTGTGTGTGCCTGTGTGTGCACGTACATGTGTGAGTTTCCTCTTCCACAGGAGTTAAGCACAGGGAAGACAGCACTCTTAACTTCCTCCCCAGCCTGGATCGCTCAGAAAGGAGGCAGGGAGATCTCAGGCTGCAAGGGTGGTGGCCTTAGTGTCCCCCCTTGTCCAAACCCTATCTCTGAGCAGACGGCTCCTGAGTTGGGCAGAAAGGTGGTGGCAAGACAGGCGGGCCCAGACAGACCCAGCTGGACAGAGGCAGAGTGAGAGGGATCAAGAAGCTGGAGCAAGCTGACGTTATGGTGACTCCTCCAGCTGCTGGGGATTTCTCTGTTAATCTGGGGCTGCTCTGTTTGCATCTCATTTGCTTGCATTTGCATAACAAGGGCCTCGCTGGCACCAGAGATCGAAATTCCTGGCCTGGGTAATTGTGTGAAAAAAGCCTCTGGAGACTGAACAGGAATCCTGGGGTCCCCAAAGCAAAGGCCGGCAACCGCTATGTTGCTGCTGAAGGTCCCGTCCAAACCCAGAAGACTCGCTTCTTAACCCTTGATGCAGGAAGGACAGCTGAGATTAGAGTGGAAAGAGTGACAAGATTAGGCATCAAGTCATCTTGCAAGCCCTCCACCCCCAGCAACCACCATGGAGCTGGGTCTAGGGGATTCCCCATGGGTGGGAATAGCCTGAACTTGGTAAAGTCCAAGCTGAGCTGGGGGATGGTGACGACTCAGCCATCACTGTCCCTACCCACCTTCTGTAGGAGAGATTATCTGGCTACACTGACATGGATCATGTCCTGGATCTTGAATTTACCAGCTCCAGGACTCTCAGACCTAGGCCACAGAAATGTCTGCTCTGGACCCCCCCACTTTAGACGACACAACTCTGGCCCTCATCTGTATGGGGTGAGGAACTGCAAGGTCCACAGGTCCACTCGGTTGTTTCTGTCTGGAGCTCCAGCCCCTTCTAGACCGTATCTCAACCCAGAACCCTAGAATTTACAGTTCAGACAGACCTTAGCCAGCTGCCAGGGCCTATGGAGACTTTGTCCCACCTCAAATGGTGGCAATTTGCCACTACTGTGGACCAAGTGGGGAGTGGAGTGCTGGAGTGTCCACAGACACCCGTACAAAGCCCTGAGGCTACAGGATGGAGCCCAGGGTAGGGCAGGAAGGCGGATAGATAGAGGGCTACAGGCCTCCTTTAGTATACTTTCCCTGGCTCTTTAAACATTTAGGGTGACTCTGACAAGCTGTTTGACCTTGGGCAAGTTACTTAACCCCTCTGTGCCCCCAAGTGGGGTTAATAATAGTAGCTGCCTCCTAGAGTTGTTATGAGAATTACTGAGTTAATTCACATAAAGCACTTAGAACAGTGCCTGGTGCAGGGTAAGAGCGTGTGTAAGTGTTAGCTATTATTATCTACCATCCTGGGATTTGGCATTTTTCCCTTCAGCAGCAGAAGCATTTTCTTTTTCATTTTGAGAAACTGAGGAAGAAGTAGGGTCTGGGCACAGCCCTCCCCCCGCCCCCCCCTCTAAGCCCAGACCCCCTCTTCTGCCTTCCCAGCAGCTGTAACCCAAGACCAGGATCCAGGAGGTCAGCCAAGCCAGGCCACTGGAGGGAAGGGAATGATTTGTCCACGTCCTTACTGGTTGAATAAATGAATAGCAAAGAGTAAAGGAGTAAAAATCAAACCGAAGCTGGGTGGACTGAGCAGGATAGCCTGACGGGCAGATGTTGTGACTGTGGGACCTTCCAACTGATCTCCCTGACCATTCTTCCTTGCTAGCTGTTTTCATTAGATGGTGGGAGGTGGCAGTGAGGCTGGCCAAATTCTCTCCAAGTTCCTCCTGAACAAGGGAATGGCTCATCCTCGTGAGATTAGAGGGAGAGTGTCCACCTGTGTCCTAGGGCCTTTTGTGTCCCAGGTGCGTCTGCATGAGGGGAAGTGTTTCTGAGTGTTCTAACACAGAACCTCCTCCTTGTCTGAGTGAGGGGCCCTGGGGCAAGCCCCGTCCTGGTCTGGGGCAGGGGGTCAGGAGCTGTTGGTAAGCCTCATTACCTCCTAATTTACACACCCGCCCCCTCTGGCAAAGCCAGGCCTTGGTGTGCCTGCCCGCCTGTCAGCCTTTGGGTTAGCGGTGATGGAGAGCTCTCTTGGGGCCTGCCAGCCTCCACCATCTGGCCCGGCTGGTGCTGGGGGAGGTGGAGGGGCCTGTCAAAGGACGCTATGGCTGTGTGGGCAGGTGGGAGTGTAGGTGTGTGCGATGGTGTATGCTGAGCCTGTGGCCCGTCTAGGTGGGCTACAAGTGGCATTCATATGTTTGTATTCATGATTGTCTATGTTTATGTGTCTGCGTGACTGTGTCCTGTGGTCTGGAGTCTCTGAGTATGATGCTGTGTACCCCAGATTGGGGGTCTTTGGTCTGAGGGTTTTCCGTGGGAGGCTCTGAGTGGAGGCAGGGGGGTTCTGTGAATTCTTGGCTCAGCTCTCAGGAGAAATTAACCTTCAGGTTGCTTTCTATAGAGGGGCCAGAAGTCCCTATTTGGGAAACCAAGTCAGCTGAGAAGTCCTAAAGCATCCTTGACTGTCCCCAAGCCCTACCCCTGGAGGTGAACTCTGGTTTCAGGCATCATCAGAACTCCTGGGTTTCCCAGGGAACAGCCCCTCACCTGCCCCAGCACTAGGACAAGACGGATACAAAACCACTGTGAAGTACAGTCAGTCACCCAGCCATGGACACTAGCACAGCATCATGCATGAATCAGAGACCCACATGTGTAATCACAGACCCACATACACATACACCCACGCATACACATTCTCATGCATGCATCACGACATACACACATCCAAGTGGCCACACATTTAAACGGCACACAAATGCTTACACAAGGAACATACCCAAGCATTGATAAAACACATTCTTGGACAAGGACACACATACCTACTCACATACATGCAGACATGCTTGCATATGTGTTCACACACATGCTATCCCTTTCATGTCTCTTCCTGTCCTCCCTTCAGCTGCCTCAGGCTAGTGTTCTGCTGTATTCTTCACCCGCTACAGAGGACCCTTTGAAAGGTAAGCATCAAAGAAGGGCGAATGTCATAAGCACACCTGCCTTTGAGCCCTTGGTATGAAGCGGTGTGTGCCTACACAATGGCACACATCCGCTCTCAGTCTATCTCAGCTTGTGCATGTGACACTATGAGTCTGGCAGTCTATGGGGCTCTAGCTTTGTGTAAAATGGGACCGTCTCTTTGTGACACTGTGGATATTTTTCTGTGCATGTCTGTGCATATTTCTGGAAGGATTTATGTGTGTCTATACCCATGTGTGTGAATTTGTGACAGTGGGGGACTTCCATATCTGTGTAACTAACTGCATCTTGTGGGCTACTTCGCTGTGTGCTTGTGTACGCATGTTTAAGTGTGTATTTGCATATCTGTGCATGTCCCACGTGTACACGGCTCTGTGGCCCAGGCTCTACATGCTGGTCTGGCCGGCTCTACCACTAGGGTGGGGCCAGGTGAGACCAGACTGAATCCCCTAGCCGTTGACAGTTGTATTTACAGAGCTCCGAGTAGGACATAATTGCTTCTATTAATCTTTCTCTGGTTGTTAATTGCTCACTTATCGGGTTGTGTATTATGCCGACTGTTGCTCTTAATTCTCCTCCATAGCTGTAGGTGTTTGCTGCCTTATTAACTGTTAATCGGCGCGGCTAGGGATAGAGACTTAATTGGCCCCCAGAGTGGGACACAGGCAGGCCAACCGGGCACTGCTAGACTCTCAGCCCGTCCCTGGAACTCTCACCTGTGGAGCACAGGTGGCTGCAGGAAGGGGCTGGCCTACTGCCAGCAGACAGCATTCCTACGTACAGCAGTTCAGGTGACAACTACAAGGTATGGGCCCTTATACAGTCCCACCTCCTCCCAGGAGCCAATGGAGCAATCAGAACCCAGCTCCAATACCCCCTGTCCATCACCCACAATCTTCTACCAGGGTAGAAGCCAGTCTCATTTATTTTAATTATCCAAACCTGACAACACCACCACCATATAACGGAACTATTTTTGCCTTTTACCACTTCTGCCTCCCCTGTGACCCTAGCAATCAGGGCTCTTAAGGTTACAGAGACAGTGGCAGAAAGGAGGACAGGGAGGAGCCGCCACTAAAGCAGGAAGAGCAGAAGTTAGACCCAGTAAGAACTTCCCAGCCTTTGAGGAGGCTATTTGGAGCAGCTGGAGTCCAAATAAGCGACCAGGAGGAAGTTCTTTGGCTCCCTCTCAGCCACACTTCTGCTTGCACAGTCCCGAGAACGGGGGACTCACTCCCTCCACTGCACTGCTATGCTGCAGCAGTGAGAAGGTTCTTCACACTGAGTTTACCCCCCTTATATGTTGTAGCAGAGAAGCTTCAAGGGTCCACAGTGGGGAAACTGAGGACCAGAAAGGGCAAGGAAGTGACCCCAGGCTTCCCCAGTACTCTTTGGCAAAGACTCAGACTTGCTACAAAGTTTCTGCTCTCTGCCTTTCCCAGGGCCCTGTTCTCTCCTAAATATCTCACTCCTGGAGGGGATTTTCTCAGCTCCCACCACTCACCTGTCACAGGGTTTCTGGGAACAGCGGGCTCATGAAAGAGACAAGGCTGGGGGTGTGAGCAAGCGGTGGCCGCAGCAGTGGTGGCGGCAGCAGTGGTGGTAGTGGTGGGGTCCAAGGTGAACCAACCTGGCTTCCAGGCTCCCAGAAGGACAAACAGGCAAACTAAGATTCCTCATTCTGTGCCTGGAATGCGGTCTTCCCTGACATTTGCTACTTAGGGTTTTTTTTTTTTTTTTTTTTTTGGTACTGGGAATCGAACTCAGGACCTTGTGCTTGCTAGGCAGGTGCTTGTGCCAATGAGCTATATCCTCACCCCTTCTCTGACATTTGAAAGTTGTTCCTGGTGTCTGCTTGTCCTGTCTGGAGCTGCAAAGGAAGGTGATTTGCTTTCACTGGGTTCAGAGAGGAGCTGGGCTGTACAAGAGAGGGAGAGGGGAAGCAACCATTGAGGGCCAGAGACAGCAATAAGCATGTGTAAAAGTGGCATCCCATTTAACCCATACATAACGTAGTTAGGGATTTGTGTCCCCGCTAACAGAGCAGGAAAATTAACCACAGGGAGGGGCGCTTACTCAAAGCGAGAGTCAAGAAAGGGCAGAATTGGGGTTTCCTCAAGACGGAATTATTTAGGGAGCTGAATTTCTGATAGGGATCCCTGAGCAAATTCATGCTAATGGTTCAATAAGAGAACTTGGAGGGGTTGGGGATTTAGCTCAGCGGCACAGCGCCTGCCTGGCAAGCGCAAGGTCGTGAGTTCGATTCCCAGTACCGGGGGAAAAAAAAAAAAAAGAGAGAGAACTTGGAGATCAGGAGCTGGCGGTCACTGTCATAGCTCACCCACCTACCCCAAATGTGGGAACACAGAGTAGTAAAACACTCACGCATGCGCAGTACACATGACCATCAGGCGGGATGAGAGCAAAGGGAACTATCAGGGATAGTTGCCCAAACAAGTTCCGGCCCCGCCTCTATGTTAATGACATGCAGATATATGTAAATTTTCACAAGCAACAGCTCAAACCTTTGAGATCAATGGGGTGACACAGGAGCAGTTGCCATGGAAATCCAAAAGCGACCCCGCAACCAGCGGGCGCAAAGACCCAGGGTTCCTCGCTCTGGCGCCCAGAGCATCACGGAGTGGAAGAGGGTGTGAACCGGAAGGACCCCCAGAGGCTGCGTCCAGCCAGGGGACGCTGACACCGCGGGGGCAGTAGCAGCAGGAGCGCAGCGTCACCATTCTGGCCGGCCGGCTGCGCCTTCTACTAAACCCTTCCGGTAGCTGGAGACTCCAGCTCCGGCCTAGCAACGTGAGCCCCGCCTAGGGTTGCATAGCAACGTCCCTGGAGCCTAGCAACCGCCGGCCACGCCCCCTAGCAACGTCACGCCTAAACTGCGCTCCGGGTCCTTTCCAAAAGAGAACGGCGAGGGGCTTATGGACGAAAGCCAAAATGAAAGTAGGGGGCGTGTGGCTCAGCTCCCACTTCTAGGCAGACGGCAGGATTTCGAGGTCCACCCAGAGCCGTTTCCCCGAGAACGAGGAATTAAAGGGCTGCATTAGCATCCCCATTTACAGACGGGCAAACTGAAGCTCTGGAAGGAAGGCCCTCCCCAGAGGCCACAGTTTGGTCTTCCCTGTGTGCCCCGGGAGGGAGCAGGGAGCAAGTGCTCCCCTGTCTCTCCGGGAGCAACCCCCAGCCTGAGGAGAGGGATACACTGCCGTCTTCCAGCGCCGACTGCGGTAGGAAAACCACCCAAGTTGCGGACTCCGAATCAAGCTGCCGGTTTGCATAGTAATTTGCGTCATTTGCATACAGCGCAGAGGCTGTGGTGTTCTCTTGCCCCTCCAAGCCAGACAAGCTCCCGAAGGAGCTCCTGCTCGCTTCCCGGGTTCACTCAACCAGCTCCTTCTCCCTGCCCGCGCCTGCACTCCATCCTCACCGGTCGGCCAGCTCTTCCTAAATTCTCTCACCCCGCCCCCAGCTCGGCCTCGGTCCTGCCAGCCCCGACCTCCATCCCAAGGCTGAGGGCCCCCTCTGCTGTCAGCTGCGAGTAGGGCAGCGCAGAGCACGTGGCGCAGGGAAGAGGGGGCTCCCATAGACAGCCGTCACCCTCTCAGTCCACCGGGGTTTAGAGCGAAGCCCACACACGGGCGGACTTGGAGAAAGGGAGAGCAGAGGGGAACTCCTCCGGGGTCTGGGGTGAAGAGTGGTGTCCTGCCAGGGTTCTTGCCCCTTCGCCGGGCCAGCTTCCTCGCCCTGGGCTGCCTAGCCAGGCGCAGCTCACCCTCAGCTCAGGCCCCAGACCGAGCTCTCTGGAGGGGACTGCCACCTTGAGACGCCTTACAATTACAGCGTCTGCGAGGAGCTCGCCCAGGCCAAGGCCAAGCAGCACCTTCCCACACTTTCATGCAGCTCACAGACCTCTCAGGAAACCCAAGCTGCGAAGCACTACTAGGAAACCACAAGCAGCACCTTCCCACACTAGCATCAGCCTCCGAACCCGAGGCCTAGACTGTGCCTTTCTCCAGTACCTTTCTGGGAGCTGACAAGAGCTGCAACTGAGATCTACCCCAGACATGCGACCTGACAGGCATGGACACCCGCACTGCACACACAGGGTGACGTCTTGTGCTATCTTCCCGTTGATGGGTGTGTGTGTGTGTGTGTGGGGGGGGTCCTGGTACTGGGAAGTTTAAAAAGTATTGCACCTTTCCTTCTGTTCGCTCCCTAGCAATCTCTAGGTGCTGGTGCCCCTTCAAAAGCCTACACCCTCTTCTCTCCTCTCCACAGCCTGGTCCTGCCTACTTTCCTATCACTTATCCTTCCCCTTAGTTCAGAATATTTGGAAAATGCTTCCAGATGCCTCCATGGCAATAGCTGTGCTCTGGAGCAGTGATGGTTCGGGACCAGTGGCTGGTAAGGTCGCACATCTGTACACAGAATAATTCCCAGAGACACCCTAAACCATTTGGCTGGGACTACAGTCTCCTATCAGCCAGCAGATGCAACCCTAGCTTTGCCAAATTCTTTATTAAACTAAAAACCAACACCAAACAGACTAATGAACAGGAAACAAACAGGGCAGACAGGGAAAGCTGACCCTCCCCTCCCTTCACCAGCTCCTTCTACCCACTTCTCTCCCTGGTTCAGCTTTAGAAAAGGAAGCAAAGCCTCTGTTCTAATGGGTAACCAGGGTCAGTCCTTTTTAGGAAAGAAACACTTAGCGCCAACTGTAGGGCCTAAGGAGGGGGGAGGGGCTGAGCCAGGGATCTCTGGAGCTGTGGGGGGCCGGCAGCACCCGCAGTAAGTCTCTGGGGCTGAAGGGAGCTGAGGAAATGCAGAAGGGGGTGGGAGAGGGGGATCCTGGCCTGAGGGGCTCAGTGAAGCTTGGAGTTGGTGACTAATGGTCACCAGGGACTTGAGGTTCTGGACTAGGACTTGGTAGGGGCAAGAGGCCCTGTGGATATGCTGGCCGTAACCAAAGCTGTTGGCAGCTGGCACTGCTAAATGGGGATGTTGGGGCTGGCAGCCTGGTTTTGGGGACTGTTTCCCTCGGCCATGACACTGCCAGGTTTTAGCCTCTGCCCATGGTTTCCCCCGGCCTCTGGGGGGAAAGGAGGTAGGCTGTCTTCGAGATAGGCTGTCTTTGTCCTGGCTCTGCTGCAGGGCACCCTCTGGGGGAAGAGGGCCTTTTAGGGCCACATCTGGCTTCCTGTCCTCTGGCTGGTAGAATCTGATCTCCACTTTCTCCTTGAAGGACACTCTCTTTCGAACCTTCCCCGACACTGTGCTAGACACGGCTGTGTTTTGAAGCCCTTCTTTGGGGAGTAGCACAGCCAGCAGCAGGCTCGAGTGTGTGATTTCCAGACCTAAGGAAAGAAAGAGGGAGAGACCCATGGACTGGTGGGAAGACCCCGAAGCTGCGTTGTATCTGACACAGTCTGGAATTTAGATCCCAAGCAGAGCTTCCTGGCAGTGAGCAGGGACCCATGGGAGGCTGGGAAGGAAAGTGGGAGGGTGAGCGTGTGTAGGAAGCGTTAGTCTCGGCGAGATCAAGGTTCTAGCTGACGGTGTTGTGTGGAGGGACTGACTCCAAGGCTCTGTGACTCAAAGTCTTCCTTGTTGTTGAAGGACATGCGGGCCAGAAAGGCCAAGCAATTTGTACCGAACAGGTAGAATCTACCCCTGGAGTCCCCAGCCCTCTCCCCAGGTGCCTTCCCTGGAGTAAACACTACACAGAGGCCAGGCCTGGCCCAGTACGGCTCTGGTGAAGCACCTGTCCGTCCTGTTGTTGGTGACATTTTCAATTTGTGGGTCCCATCTTGGTTTAGCTGCCCCTGGGTCAAATGTAGCTGTCCTAAAGCTTCTACTTGGCAGTGTCTAACTGGGAGGCAGTGTAGTGGGGTGCTCAGGAGCCAGCTTCTGGAGCCAGGCTGCCTGAGTGTGAGCCTGGCTCTGCTACTGACTGGCTGGGTGACTCTGGGCAGTTTTCTCCTCTGTGAAATAGAGAATCCAAGAGCACTACTGTGAGAGAGCTATTCCAAAACTGTAAGAGCACATCTAGGTAAAGGGCTGTGGGTCCCCATGCTCAGCATGTGTGGGGCCCATGGTTCAATGCCCAGCACTGAAATAGGAGGAGAAAGAGAGAAAGGAAAAGATGACGACTTCCTCTAGGTAAAGCTTTTAGAACGACGGCTGGCACATCAAGTATCAAGTAGCAGTCAGGTATCAGCTATTATTATTTTGGCAGAGCTAAGGATCAAACCCAGGATCACAGGCACACACACCAGGCAAGCGCTCTGCACTAAGCCACACCCCTAGCCTGAGCTCCTCCTGTTCTCTTTGTCCCATCCGCACGTGGCAGGCATTCCCCTCTGAGACGTGCCTGTCTCTGTTGAGGCACAGATGACTGTGTCAACAGCACCCTCTGCTCACCAAGCCAGGGGAGGCAGGTGTGCTGTGGGCACTGGGCACTCACCTGGACCGCCCAGAAGGCGCAGTCTGGCGGGCAGCGGCTGGAAGGCGGGCAGGGGCAGCAGGACCACCCCCACATGCTGCACGGAGGTCAGTACATGGCACTGCTTGTTGTTGAGGTAGGAGTAGAGCAAGCGGCAGTTCTGGGTATCCCGAGTGCCCAGGGGACACAGTCTGACCACGGAGACGTCCTGCAGGTGCAGGAGAACAGCTGAGGAGCAATGGTCCTCTTTGTCTGCAGACATCTAAACCGCCGAGAACTGTCCCCATTTCCCAGGGGAGGAAGCAGACGGACCTGCCCAGGGTCACTTAGTGGGTCTGCAGTCACACTAGGAACTAGACCTGGATTTCCCAAACCAGGCTTCTGCACCAGAGATTGAGAGGGATGGAGTGAGGGGGGAGGACAAGGGGCCAGGTGAAGAGGGTGCCCAGCAGTGGGCGTTTACCTTGGCCTCAGCTGGAGAAATGCTGGTCAGAAGGTCCCAGACAGTGTTAGGGGGGATGCAGCCCGCTGAGCGAATCACCTCGGGCAGAGCCTGGGGGTGGGTGAGATGGCCTCAGCCCCCAGCTTCCCCTCTTTTTAGGCAGACTCATTCCCAGCCACGTGGAAGGCCGAAGCCTGAAGCGTGGAAGATGGGTAGGCAGTATTGGAACCCTCAGTGGCTGCTATAATTACCCTAGAGGCCCATAACCTGCCCTGCCCAAGTTCCCACAACTTCTCCAAAGCCCCTCACTCCCTCTGCTAACCTGCCACCCTCATCTAACACTTTAGCTGATTATTCTGTCTTTCAACAATAACTTCTCCCCTGGGCCAGAGAGGCACCAGACGTCTCTCCCAGGCCCTTCCTGCCTTAAAGTGATTCACCTTCTGTGTCTCCCCAGAAGTGGGGCTGGCATCTTATTTGTCCTGATACCTAGCACAAGGCCAGGCACAGAGAGGGTAGAGTGAGTAACAGAATACATGGGTGAATGAGTAAGTAGCCAGGTGAAGAGCTCACTGGGGAGCATATGAGGGAGCCCCTGGAGAGCAGAGCGGGCAAACCTGGATGAGCCGACAGCTGTGTCCCGAGACCAGCTGAGCCTTGGCCCGGAACCGCTTGATGGAGAACATGTCAAGTGCCCCCTCCCAGGGAGGTGGGGTGGGCAGAGCCTTTGTGGGCCCAGCAGACGTCTGGTACCTAGAGGGAGAGACAGATGGGTTAAGTAGAATGGGTCCTCAGGAGCACCCCGCATCTCCTTCCTTTCCAGAGCAGGTGCCGTGTCCCCACTGCAAGGAACAACATTGGTCCAAGTATGGCCTTGAGCAGGGAGGAATTGGGATGATCTCTTCCTCTGTCTACGTGGGGAAACTGAGGCAGAAAGACTTGCCCACGGCAATATAGGCAAAAAAGCCCACGCTGTGTGTCTGCGGCCCCAGCTTGTGGACTCCCCCACCCACCCTTCAAGGTTGCCACCTCCCGGCTCCAGCTCACACCTATTCTGGGGTTCCGTGGGCCGTGTCTCCCTGGCTCTGGGCATCTCTGGAGAAGGCACAGGAGCTGGGCTTGGGGCTCTCTGGGAGACACTGACCCTGCTGCTCCTGGAGGCTCTGGAGAAGCCTGGCAGCTCACTCAGAGACTCTGCGAGCAACAGAGGCAGGAGCTGAAAGAGGCATGCAGAGGCGGAAGCCACCCCAGCGCTGAGAGCCCCGGCTTGAAGCAGGGTCCCTCCTGCACCCCTGCAGCCCCCACCTGCACAAATGTGGCAGTCGGGGTCCAGGAAGTAGTGATCATGCTGTCCTGTGATGTCCCCCAGCAGGGCAGGCAGGGCCTGCAGGCTGCAGTCTCCGGACACCGCAGGTCCCTGCAAGGCAGAGGAGCAGAAAAGGACAAATAAGAAGGAGGCTGGGGAAATCAGTGAGGGGGGCCTCCATGGCTAGGCAGCCTCAGGATGTGGTTTATTTTCTTTTCTTAAATAACATTTCTACCACAAAATACTATGAACTTGTAAAAAACAATTGGAAAATACAAAAAAATTGAAAAAAATCACCTCTTGTCACACCATTGAGACAATAGTTGATGTTCCTTTATGACAGCTCCTCTAAGCACAGGATTGGGAAGGGATCCTTATGGCAGAATAGCTGGGGTCAAATATTCAACTTTAGTCCATTAACTGTGGCAGAGGCCTTTGCCACATTATCCAGCCCCTGGCGGCAGTGCTGATGGTGCGGGCTGTAGTGTACATGTCACTTCTATCACCTCTGGGTCATTTCTGGGTTTTCACTATTATCACTAACACAGACATCTTGGCACAGAAAATATTTTCCTAAATTTTACATCATTTCCTTGAGTTCTCAGAAGTTCTCAGAAGCAGATGACAGAATCAGGGAGAATGATCATTTTAAAGACCCCTGATAGTCACGCATGGTGATGTGCACCTGTAATCCCAGCACCCTGGGAGGCTGAGGCAGGAGGAGGATTGATAGTTCAAGCCCAGCCTGGGCAATCTAACAACTTAGTGAAACCCTGCCTCAAAAAATAAAAACAGGGGAAAGAAAAAAAACCAGGGCTTGGAGATGAGCTCAATGCAAAAGCCCTGGGTTCAATCCCTAGTACCCCTGTCCCAACACACACACACACACACACACACACACACACTCCATGTCTGGTGCCAAGTCACTTTTTCCCTCATAACGGAAAGAGCTGTAAGCACACACACATGCAAATGCTGTTTTAGAAAGGTTTAAGAGGATTCTGAAACTCTAGCCTCGCCTTGTTTTTTTTGTTTGTTTGTTTTTTGTTTTTTGTTTTTTTTTTTCCTCCGGTACCGGGAACCGAACTCACAACCTTGCGCTTGCCAGGCAGGCGCTTTGCCGTTGAGCTAAATCCCCAGCCCCTAGCCTCGCCTTGTAACCACCTCAAGAGCAGCGCCACAGCGCAGGCTGTGGAGCAGGAGGCCCAGGTTCAGATCTCAGCTCTAGCACCGCGCACCGCCTGACCCCGGGGCCAACAGCTTCCTCACTGAGGAAATGGCGCAGTCGCAGCCCATGTAGATCACTGCGTGGTTTGAATGAGGTGCTGTTGGTAAAAGGGACACACAGCAGGAGTCCAGGCGAGTAAAGATTGTTGCTGTGTGTCACTTTCCCTTCCTTTTGCGCTATCTCCTGTCTTCCGCTTTCCTGGGGCTGAGGGTTTCTCTCGCTGCTCCTTCCTACACTGACACTCCATTAATCAGGAAATTCGACTTGATTGGGGAGCAGCCACACCCACTTAGGGCACTGCTCTGCGCAGGGCGTAATTCTCCTTGGCTTGGATGTCAGGGTGGAAGGTGTGGGAAGCGGGGAGTTTTGTTTATCCACGTTCGCTGCCATTTTTCCAGTGCCCATCACCCAGCAGGTGCTCCATAAATATGAACTGAGTGCACAAATAAGGGTTTGGGGACTGTCTTGCACCCCTTGTTCCTGGATACACAGTTGATTAGAGCCAAGTGACATCTGACCCTGGGAACACCCAAACCAAGCTAGAGTGGGCTTCTTCTGAGAGTGACTGATGTGAACAAAAGGGAAGCTCTAGGTGTCCTGTTCATGGGCCTCCACATCAGGCTCTGTCAAGATGGAGCTGGGGCAGGAAGGCACAGGATGTGCACAGGGGTGGAGCCCATTCCTGGGGGTGAGAGGAGGCCTAGACTCTGGGGCCTCCTCCAGGAGCCAGGGCAAGCTCCGGGAGGCTGTCTGGCCCAACTGGCCTGGGTGCTGGGTGGCTCCTCGCCCAGCCCAGCTCCAACCCACCAAATACACCAAGCTTCTTCCTTACAGCTAGAAAAACTAGTGCACAAAGAAGCTGAGGAGAGACCCAGGCCATGCCCGTCTGGGTCACTGTCCCGCTTTACCACAAGCACAGCCACATACTCAGTGGGGTGAGGAGCAGGGTTCCCGGGCATGGGGCCCACCCAGCACCAGCTCAGGCCCCACTTACCAGGTCTTCCGGGGTCAGCATCTGGTCTGTGTCCCGCAGAATCTCCACCTCGCCCTTGTGGGTCAGTTTGGAGGTCGGAAGCCCACATGGCTCCTTCTGTTGCTGAGCAATGATCTCTAGTCCCTGAGGAGTGCGGCTCAGCAGGGTTAGGGCGGTCTCTGGCCAGCACTAAAGGCCAGGAGCCCCTTTCTCCCTAGAGGACACTCTGCTGGGCTCCTCCCATATCAGCCACCTCCCTGCCTCCACGCATGCCTCTGTTCCTCCTCTCACCTGGAAAGCCAGCCACCCTCAGCCCTGTCTCTCCAGAGATTCAGCTCATTCACCCTTCAGCTCAAAACCTGCCTCCTCCAGGAAGCCTTCCTGGACTTCTGTTTCCCCTGCAAGTCAATTCTCTCTCTGATCCCATCTCCCCCTGTGCCCTGAGCAGGCCGAGGCAGAAAGGAAATTTCCAAGGCCAGCTCTGAGTCCCAGTGGGCTGTTAATAAAGAAGGTATGGCTTTGGGCCAGCACTCAGTGCTTTATGCCTCAGTTTATCTGTTCACTGGTGATTAAATTAAGAGCATTTCATTAAATAGCACATGCAAGCCAGGTGTGGTGGTGAATGTCTGAAATCTCAGCACTTGGGAGGCTGAGGCAGGAGGATTGCCAGAGTTCAAGACCAGCCTGGGCTACAAAATGAGTTCAAGGCCAGCTTGAACTGCACAGTGAGACCCTGTCTCAAAAAAGACAAATAAGTAAGTGAATACAAATAAACAAGTAAATAGCACATACAGAGGGCCTGGCCTAGACTGAGGCCCATGGTAAATGCTGGCTGTGATTCTCATTGTTGATCAGTGTCATCCTGCCTGAAATGTTTCTCAAAGCCTCGCCTCTCCTTTTCTAACAATCTTC